ATTCTAGCACCCTCACTGTTTATTGACACCCCTTTCCAACCCTCTGGTTTTGCCCCATGTTCTTCCTGCAATTAACTTCTCTCCCAGATGACTGACTTAACTTCTGCCTACGTAGACTAAGGGTAAGCATTGTGTTTTGGTTACCTACTTAGTAATGGATATGTGATATACTGTGGCTGTAAAGAGGGAAGTTTGCTCTGAAATTGTTCATTGCCAGCTAAACCAGTAGGACTTAGGACATTCTCAATTTTAGGTTTATAGTCCCTAAATTCCTGAAGTGGACTACTGAATCTTGACACAGGTATTTTACAGATATTTAATTTCCACAAAGGAATGTGTGCCCAGACTGACAACAATTTACTTTATTTTCCAGGAAGGATGCCAGTTCTGCTCTGCTCAGTAATTATGAGGTAAATAGCTTTGAAATAAACTATTGTAGTTTCCTCTTTGGTAGTTTGTCCTCTGTTTCTGAAGATTATTGAATTAGTTTTAATTAAAAATGACTGAATTCATTTGGATTTTCCACTTTAAAATAGGACAGATGGCACCATCTGATGGACCTTGGAACTATTATAAGCTTGGTAAATTATACATAGTAATTCAGGGAAGCTGGGAAGACTTTATAGTAGGCAACCTTCCCCAAATCCCAAAGATTTTAGATTTTCATTTTATATGCCTTTATGGGATGGAAGCATCTATTCGGAACTGTTTTCTGTCTGTGAAAGTTTTCCATTGAAATACTTAATGCCTTTTCCTAATTACCACTTTTTGCCTATAAAATGCTTTTATGTTATTATTTTGATCCCCATAATAGTCTCATAAGTATTGGGGCGCCTGGGTGGCGCAGTCGGTTAAGCGTCCGACTTCAGCCAGGTCACGATCTCGCGGTCCGTGAGTTCGAGTCCCGCGTCGGGCTCTGGGCTGATGGCTCGGAGCCTGGAGCCTGTTTCCGATTCTGTGTCTCCCTCTCTCTCTGCCCTTCCCCCGTTCATGCTCTGTCTCTCTCTGTCCCCAAAATAAATAAAAAACGTTGAAAAAAAAATTAAAAAAAAATAGTCTCATAAGTATTAACACCATACTGAAGATGGTGCTTAGTTGATGCACCATTATGAATAATTTAGTAGGAACTAAAAGATTTGAAATCTGGGGACTTGAGGGTTGGGTTGCTGAAGAAAGGGAGGAAAAAAGGAAAAAAGTTGGTGAGAGGGAAGATAACATTATTTATTTTTGCCTCCCTTCTATTTTGCCTGTGTCTTGTTTGGTACATCTGATAGGTTAACTCTGGGTGTAGAAAGAACGATTCATACATTCACGGTCAAGTTTTCATTTTCTAGAATATCAATTCATGAAAACTTTAGGAGATTGGAGTTTCCATTGTGTGATATAGAAGATAGAAGATAGTGGAATTAACACAGTTGGCCATACTCCTTCCTTAAGTTGTTGCTACTAATAATAGGAAGGAGATGGTTGTGAGTCAAGCCATCGGCTTTTAGGAACTTCCTTGTCCAGTTTGGATTCTGCTGGGTATTTGGGTGTTTTATCCATTGGGGAAACATTGCATTAATTGGAGCTCATGACACTATTGCTGAAAAAATAATGACAGGTTGCATTGTAGGTAGTATGCTCTATGAGCCTATACTTCCCTCAGTTCTCTGGCGTAGTCTCTAAAACAGGAAAGCTATATCTCCCCCCGCCCATGCTCCTCAGCGCTAACACACGTTTTTCCCTTGTCGGGAGAGTTTACTTCCAACGTTCTATAGCATTATTATTATTATTTTTTTTTTTTTGGTAAAATTTGTATTTAACTCTTGCCTCATAATTTTTCTTTTTCAGGTATAAATTTACTAGCTTTTCATTTTATTGAAGCAGAATCCTGTTTTTTTTTAAAAACTTAGTGCAAAAAAAATTTTTTTAGGTTTATTTATTTATTTTGAGAAAGAGGGGGAAGGGGAAGGGCAGAAGGAGAAAGAGAGAATCCCAAGCAGTCTCTGCACTGTTAGCATGGAGTCTGTTGCGGGGCTCAGTTTCACAAACCAAGATCATGACCTGAGCCGGTATCAAGAGTTGGATGCTCAACCAACTGAGCCACCCAGGTGCCCCTATTTGAGGAACTTTTTGAGGAACCTCCGTACTGTTTTCTATAGTGACTGAACGAAATTACATTCCTACCAACAGTGCACACGGGTTTCCTTTTCTTCACATTCTTGCCAACACTTACTCTTTCTTGTCTCTTTGGTGTTAGCCATTTTAACAGGTGTTAAGTGATAGTTCATTTGATTTTTTTGATTTGCATTTCCCTGATGACTAGTGATTTTGCATCTTTTTTATGTGTCTGTTGGCCATCCATATATCTTCTTTTGAAAATTGTCTATTCTGGTCCCCTGCCCATTTTTTAATCAGATTGGTTTTTGGGTATAAGTTCTTTATATATTTTGGATATTAACTTTTTATCAGATAAGTGATTTGCAGATATTCTCATCTAGTAAGTTGTCTGTTCATTTTGTTGATGGTTTCCTTTGCTGTGTCTTTTAGTTTGATATAGTCCTACTTTTTTATTTTTGCTTTTGTTGCCTTTGCTTTTGGTGTTAAAAAAAAAAAATCATCACCAAGACTGATTTCAAGGAGCTTACCTCCTTTGTTTTTTGTAGGAGCTTTATGGCTTCAGGTCTTACATTCAATTCTTCAATCCATTTTGAGTTAATTTTTCTGTGTGGTTATGTGGTAGTGGTCCACTTTCATTCTCTTCCTTTTGACCAGTTTTTCCAGTACCTTTTTTTTTTTTTTAAATATGAATGGATACCATTTAATCCTTAAGGCAATATCTTTTTTTTTTTAAGTTTACTTTTATTTATTTTGAGAGATAGAGAACAAGTGGGAGAGGGGCAGAGAGAGAGGGAGACAGAATCCCAAGCAGACTCCATGATGTCAGCGCAGAGCCCAATGTGGGGCTCGAACTCCAAGAGTCTGACTCTTAACCCACTGAACCACCCAGGCTCCCCATCCCAGCACCATTTATTGAAGAGGCTGTCTTTTCCCCATTGTATATTCTTGGCTTCTTTGTCAAAAATTAACCACAGGGATGCCTGGGTGGCTCAGTCAGTTGAGTGTCTTGCTCTTGTTTTCAGCTCAGGTCATGATCTTGTGATTGGTGAGTTCAAGCCCCTTGTCAGGCTCTGAGCTGACAATGAAGAACCTGCTTGGAATTCTCACTCTCTCCCTCTCTCTCTGCTTCTCCCCTTTGCGCTCTCTCTGAAAATAAATAAACTTAAAAAAAATTAAGTAACCACATATGTGTGAGTTTACTTCTGGACACACTGTTCTATTCCATTGATTTATATGTCTGTTTTTATGCCAGTAACAATACTGTTTTGATTTCCGTGGCTTTGTAATTTGAAATCAGGAAGCATGATGCCTCCAGCTTAGCTCTTCTTTCTCAAGATCGCTTTGACTATTCAGGGTCTTCTGTGGTTCCATGAAAGTTTAGGATTGTTCTATTTCTGTGAAAAATGCCATTGGAATTTTGATAGAGATTGCACTGAATCTGTAGATTGCTACAGATTGCTTCTTTCTGGTAGTTCATTATTATCATGTATACATGCAATAGATTTCTGTATATTGATTTTGTATGCTGTAACTTTTACTGAATTTATTTTTAGTTCAGTTTTTTGGTAGAGTCTTTAGGGTTTTCTATATATAGTATCCTGTCATCTGCAAATAGTGACAGCTTTACCACTTTCTTTCCAATTTGGCTGCCTTTTATTTATTTTCTTGCCTAATTGCTCTAGCAAGGACTTCCAATACTGTGTTGAATAAAAGGAACAAGAGTGGGGCACCTGGGTGGCTCAGTCAGTTGAGCATCCGACTTTGGTTCAGGTAATGATCTTGCAGTTTGTGAGTTCAAGCCCCACATCAGGCTCTATGCTGACAGTTTGGAGCCTAGAGCCTGCTTTGGATTCTGTGTCTCCCTCTCCCTGCCCCTCACCCTCTTATGATCTCTCTCTCTCTCTCTCTCTCTCTCTCTCTCTCTCTCAAAAATAAACATTTAAAAAAATAAAAGGGGCAAGAGTGGCATCTTTGACTTCTTCCTGATCTTATAGGAAAAGCTTTCAGCTTTTCACTTGTCAGTATGATGTTAACTTAGGGCTTGTCACATATGGCCTTTACACATTGGGTATGTTCCCTCTCTACCCACTTTTTTGAGAGTTTTTATCATAAATCGATGTTAAAATAATTTTTTTTAATGTTTCATTTTTATTTTTGAGAGTGTGAGTGGGGGAGAGGCAGAGTGAGAGGGGAATAGAGGATCCACAAGTGGGCTCTGTGCTAATAGCGGTGGGCCCAATGTGGGGCTTGAACTCAAAAACCAAAGATCATGACATGAGTTGAAGTCAGATGCTCAACCAACTGAGCAACCCAGGTGCCCTGGATGTTGAATTTTAGAAAATTCGTTGTCTACATCTATTGAGATATCATATTTTAGGAAAGTTTACTTTCAAATACTAATATATTTTTGAGATCAGAGGAAATTAGCGATATGGTGTATATTAATAAGGAAACATTTGAAATATTTCAGTAAACTAATGAATTTGGATTACTTGACTTAGATAAAAGCATTTTTAAAATGTCAGATGTTTCTCAGACTCATATTTGCTCTAATGAAGAGTTAAGGGGAGGGTTTGAAAGAAAAGACGTACTATTCTGTTTATCCTTCAGAATCATTGACCTTGAGGGGTGCCTGGGTGGCTCAGTCCGTTAAGCTTCCGACTCTTGTTGGTTTTGGCTTGGATTGTGATCTCATGTTTCGTGAGTTTGAGCCCTGAATTGGGCTCTGCTCTGACAGTGTGGAGCCTTCTTGGGATCCTCTGTATGCCCCTCCCCTGCTTGCTTGCTCCCTCTCTCTCAAAATAAATAAATAAATAAAATAAACTTAAAAAAATCATTGCTCATGAAATAGATACATTTCTCACATTTACTCATAAAAATCTTTTATCACTTCCCAGGTGTTCCAGTTACTGACTGATCTGAAAGAGCAACGGAAAGAAAGTGGAAAGAACAAACACAATTCTGGGCAACAGAACTTGAATACTATCACCTATGAAGTAAGCCTAGGCTTGTCGAGGGGCTACCGAAACTAGCATTGAGGGGTTGGTTTATTCCAGGGATGACTGGCCACCAAATCATGACTGACTCTTACTGATTTGAGTAGTTTTACTCTAACCCAGTTTTTATTCTGTTCATGCAAGTGGAGGAAATTTGGCCAATGGTGAGGTTAGCCAATGACAGAGTTAGAGGGAATAGTGAAAAAAAAAGACTGTCCTCAATTCTAACACCATTTGCGAGTCAGGGATCCCTAAGACCACCCTTGGGTTCAGTAATTTACTGGAAGTACTCAGAACTCACTGAAAGCTATTACATTCACAGTTATGGTTCATTACATGAAAAGGATACAGATTAAAATTGACCAAAGGAAGGGGCGCCTGGGTGGCGCAGTCGGTTAAGCGTCCGACTTCAGCCAGGTCACGATCTCGCGGTCCGTGAGTTCGAGCCCCGCGTCAGGCTCTGGGCTGATGGCTCAGAGCCTGGAGCCTGTTTCTGATTCTGTGTCTCCCTCTCTCTCTGCCCCTCCCCCGTTCATGCTCTGTCTCTCTCTGTCCCCCAAAAAATAAATGAACGTTGAAAAAAAAAAAACATTTAAAATTGACCAAAGGAAGAAGCATATGAGGCAGATTCTAGGAGAAATGCCAACACAGAGCTTCTATCCTCCTCTTATGTGGGTGGAGTCAGAAAATGTTTGTCCTCTAATGTGGGTGGAGTCAGAAAATGTTTCTCTTGAAATCAATGTGTGATAATACATACAAAATATTGTCAACCAGGGAAGCTCAGCTAAACTTCAGCTTCCCAAATTTTTATTTGAGTTCTGTTATATAGGCATGATTGAATGATTGGTTGCCCGTTGTAGTTCATCTCAGCCTCCAGGTGCACTGATTCTGCATGACCCAAAGCCTCCACCCTAAGTCACATTGTTAAGACTATTCATTATGATATAAGACCTCCAGAGAAAGATACTCCTATTAAGTATAACATTGCCTCTCAGAAGCTGAAGGCAAAGGCCAGACTGTCTCTTTGGGCAAAGCTCAATTCTTCCTTCCTTCCTTCCTTCCTTCCTTCCTTCCTTCCTTCCTTCCTATTTTTCTTTCTTTCTTTCTTTCTTTCTTTCTTTCTTTCTTTCTTTCTTTCTTTCTTTCTTTCT